GGAAGCCTCAACAACTTGTAAGGGTCAAATATTGAGTCATGGAAGAAATGTACCAGCATCATAATTTATAGTTGCCATTTATTGAATACTGAACATATGCCCAGCATCATTCTGAAGGGTTCACAATAAGTACTTTCAACCAACACTACAAGGTAGGTATTATTATAATCCCCATTTTAGAAACAAGGAAGTTTGCCTGAGGTCATGCATCAGTTAAGTGATGAAATGGGATTTGAACACAGGTCTGCAGACTCTGAATCTGAGCTTTCAATCATTTTCAATTAAATCCACACCTCCTAGTTCCTCACCAGGAACTTTCCATCCTTAAAAGTCTCTTCTCCATCTCCACCCCTTTGGACTTATACCATGTATCAGTGAAAAGCAGAGGAGTTTGTGACGCTATGATCAACCTTGAATCAAACTGAGATGAGACAGTTTGGAGTCAGGATGAAGGTGAATCAGTTGGAGAATCAGGTAAATCTGGACAGATTAAGCCAAGAACGGAGAGGACAGCCTCTGTCCTCCTTACCAGATGGCAGGTGTGTATCTGTGTTTATATAAGCGATGCCAGTACACCCTGCCTGGGGCTTCTCATTCAGAGTTCTATGAACACTGCCAGAGGCCACAAATGGTCTGGAGAGCTGATTAATAGTTTCATAAGCCAGTGGAATGCCAAGTGCAGAAGGCAGCAGAAAGGAAAGGAGAAGGGGAGTGGGTGCTGAGTCGGGCTGGGTTATTACATGCCACATTTAGCACCTGTACCATGGGCTGACTGTGCTAGTCTCCAAGAAAGGCTGCCAAGCCCAAATGCCCTGGGGGAATTTCAGCCTTGGGCAGCATGCCTCATCCAGGAACCGGTTCTCCAGGCTTTCCTTGAAGGAACGTCCTCAAGCTATTGATGAGGAACCTTGTCTGATGACATCATAAAAATGGCAGCATAGGGTGAGCCTCTTGAAATCTCCCCTGGAATTTACAACTAAGTGAACAACTGTAATTCCACAAAGGACTCCCTGCACAGCAGACAGGCAAGACTTAGAGATGCACAACTGCAATCATCTAAGGGTGGGCAAATTGGGTGAGCAGGGGAGGAGGGAAGGGGGAAGAGTGGAGACGCCGACCTTGTGGTCGCAGGATACAGACTGGAACTCAGAGCTCCAAGCTTCTTGTATTCTGGAGCTACTGCAGTCATGGAAGAGGGAAGAATTCAGACTGCGAGTGCTCTGCTTATGGCCCACAGTCCTGCCTGAGAGAATAGCACATAACACAGCTGAATCCAACGCTCATGGCAGAGGCCTCGGAGCAAAGGCTGAGGGAAGAGGGGTGAAAATGATGGTTTAAGACCTCACTGCCAAGTAGAGGATGGAAGATGTAGGCACGGAGCCCAACCGCCCCCTCCTTCCCCTCCTGGAGCTAGCCCCACCCACCACTGCCCAGGGCTAGAAGCGGAACAGTAGCAGTGTCAGATCAAAAGAACAGAATATTTTTAGTTCTAAAAACTGGGGCCCGCAGGCATAGACTCGCAGGCCAACTAGTTCCAGCGAAGGGGAGAGAACCTTGAGTGCAGGACTGGCTGTGCTGGTGGTCGCCGCCATTGCTCAAAGTCACCTCTCACAGCTCTCACAACTCACCCTGCCCGTGCCCCCGTCTATCGGGGTGGATTCCTGTAGGGGTAAACAGAGTCGCTAAAACACACAGTCCCTGAATCTGCTGCAGGGAGAGCTTTGGGATTTCAGAAGCTCTCCACATCCCCCAATGGAGGTGGTGCCCTGAGATCCAGGTGACATGCTCACAGAGAAGCCCACCTTTCAGGGACTCCCGCATTGCATGCATGAGAGGCCGGAACAGTGCAGAGAAAATATAACACTACAGTGTGAGAGGAACTAAAAGGCTGCAGTAGGAGAGAAAATAAAGCATTCTACCAACACCTAGTGGAAAGCAAAAGAAAGGCCTCTTCCTACCAACCTGTTGCAGAACCACTCCTGTAGACGCCTAGGAAGAGAAATAATTCATTAATTGCCATGAATAACCAAGGTAACAAGGCAGCTCAGAAAGAAAATGAAAAGTTTCCAGAAAATGAACTTAAAGATATGGAGATTCGAGTGGGAAATGGCGGCTGCGAGGAGGGGTCCCCGAGTTCTCCCCTGGAAATTGCCACAATTTGAACTGCTGTAACTCATCAAATGAACCGCTACTCATCACACGAGCAGCTAAGAGACTCCCACGCTGATTACTTAAAGGTGGGCAGACCTCGGGAGTGGAGGAAGAGAAAGGTGAGACGCGTGGAGACCCAACTGTGGCTGCTGAGACACGGGGCCTCAGAGAGCAGATCGGAGAGTGTTCCGCGGCTCACTCCCTGCGCCTGGAGGCCCGCCCAGAGAGAAGCAAGAGTGCTACAGTTTTGCAGCCTGAGACGGAAGCCTCAGGCCGGGCGAGTGGGGGAAGAGAGAGAGGAGATGTGCATGCAGAGGCTCGGTCCGCACCCATGGCTGCAGAGACGCAGGACCCCAGGAGGCAGAGTGGAGAGCGTTGCAGCGGCAGGGTGGGCTCAGTCCCTGCACCCCTGCAGTCCCTCCCAGAGCGCCGCAGGCGCTCAGCTGGAGTGTCTGAGGCAGAAGCCTCAGCTTAAAAAGGAGGTGGGATGGGGTTTTTTTTGTTCTGTTTTGTTTTGTGGGGTTTTTTTCTCTTTTTTCTCAGACAGAAAGCAAAAAACAACTTCATAGATAACAACCCACCTCCAACCTCCCTCAGAAACCTTGGCCCCCGCCATGCCAGAGCCTTAAGCTGACCCCTGAATTTTGGAGTAGGGTCAGATTACAGAGGTGCTCCTACTCCCAGAGAGTTTGAGAAACTGCGCAGGAGAAGAGGCTGCAGAGTGTGAGCCTACCTACCTGCGCCCACCTCTCCTGCAGGCTTGGGAGGCAGGGCAACTTCAGCTGCTGAGTCACTCGCAGTCCCCCGGCAGGTGGTTTTTAGCAGCTCTGAAACCTCACACAC